TTTCTTAACATCAATATCTGCGGAGTGATTCCAGTAAGTCTCTGTTTTATTGTAATCTCTAAACTTGATCTCCCCACTCATCTAAATTCTTGCCTTTCTTTCTCTGCATGTCTGAATGACTGTTCCATTTATGTGCAGGTATTGTCAAAAATAAAATTTATAAAATCGTAAATCTAATAATTATGTTTGTTAAACAATTAGCATTTATTTCCATTAATTACTTATTTTTGGAATTTTAATTGGACGCCTTTTTCTGAATTGCAGAAGATATGCAGCGTGACTAAATTTATCGGCATTGTTCCGCTCATATTTATGTTTATATGTGAAATATGTATCTTTTTTTATTTTCTGATAAAAGAGAATTTTTTAAATAACTCTAAGAATGACATAAGTCTTTATGCATTGTTTATTGTTTTCGGTTTGACGCAGTTGCAAATGATGGTGCAAAATATTGCAAAATAGCTTTTGAGTGATTTTTTAGCTTATTGATTACTAATATCTGATGGCTTACTATTGGGCGATACACCTTTAAAATGGGCAATGATTGGTCGGATGCTTTGGCCAAGGAGGCCACACATGCTGTTGGTGATTATGAGATCAGTCGTGTTCGAGGCTAAAAGCCATTTCTGTCATATTGAAAAATATAGTGGAATCTTGGAACACATGTTGGATGCAGTCTAACAGAAATAAAGGTCTCTTACGTTTTTTAAAAGTGAAAAAGAAAGTGAAAATCATGATTAAATCAGCTTGTTACGGGCTATGATCGCTTTCCAAAATATTTATCAAAATTTAGTGTTCAGGACAATCCATTCTCTAAAACTTGTATTGTAATAGGTGATAATATGCATTTTTTGGAAATCATGTGAACTAAGTGCTGGTCTCAGAAATGATTTTTTAATTGCCGGTGAACGTGATTATAACTGTGTAAGGTTTATCCTAAGTTTTTAACAGTTATCTATAGTTAAAGCTATTTTCCTGCCCTTCCTAATTCAAGCTTACAATTTTCTACCAGAATTTGTTTTTAGAATCGCGTTTTATGCAAATGAGTAAGAGTGTTATTTAAGTCGGAGTTCCACTGACTTCCAGAGAGAGCCTCAGAGTTTCTGACTAGCGCGCATTCGCCTTCTGGCTATGTCCCTCTCTAAGCTGTTACTACACTCGGCCGTATTACAGACCCTTAATAGCTTCCCTAGCTTATTCGATATTTAGGGGCAACTACTTAGAAATTTGATAGCTTAACAACTACATCTTTTTAGTTAAGTATTAGTTAAGTTTATTTCTGATTACATTGAGTTCAAGCTCAAGTAGAGGCTTTGCTGTACGCTCTGAGAAAAGAGCCAACTGTAAAATTCTTATTTTGAATAATAAAGGGTAATTAACCCTTCTTAAATTTACGTCTCTGTTCTTGAACAACAGCGATTATTCGCTTAACTGTTCACGAGGTTCCTACACGTTTAGCTGTTAGATAAAATGGTAGAACCCCACAACTGTAAGCAAAATATAAAAATTGCGTAGGATATTATGAAAATTATAAATAATAATTATAAGGATAGGCTCAGATTTCAAAATTAGGGGACTCTTTTCGTGTGAGTGAGTGTGATTTGTCCGTATTTGCGATTACATGTTTTGCTTTGATTTACTTCAATTTATTTATTTTTTTAGATGTGTTTGTTTCCTTATCTTTTTTTTTTTTGTGTGTGTGTGTGTGTGTGTGTGTTAGTGTGTGTTTTCTCGGGCATAGCCAGTTTTTGGCTATAAATTAAATTCATATTCGCTAGGCGGGCCGAGCTGCGCCCAGATTCTAACTACATTCTAAGTAACAAACACCCAAATTCTGACTAACTAACTAACACCTTTAAAATAATGTAAAGGTGTATATTATAATGCACCTTTACAGCAAAATTTGCAGCAAGTATAATTGTATGCCGTGAGTGTCATTATTAAAATTATATAAAGCCCTAAAATTGGCTGATTTAAAAATCTCTGACTATATTTCTTGTGTACCGCAGAAACAAAGATGAAAATGGTAGGAATAATACAGGAAGTCAACAGTTTTCTTCAAGGAACTTTTAAAAAAAGAATTAATAAATATAAATAAAATAAATAAATTAGATCCTCTCTTCGGGGAATATTATGAAAATTGATTATTTGGAAGAGTTACTACCTAGGAATTCAATACTATGCAAACTTACTAAATTGATGTAAAGTTTGCTTGAACATATTAAGACTGAAATTTTACAATGGATAAAAGTATTTTGGACATAAGATTTCAAATGTGGAGTTTTTGATTAAAAAAAGACATATTATGTTCTAAAGAATTCCTGCATTTCCCTATGCGTACTCTGATGCTGGAAGTGGTTAACACGTCCAACTAGCACAGAAAGATCTGTGGTTTATATCTTTCCGAGGGCAGAACTGATATTACTTTAGTGGCACCTGGTCTGAAGTGTGATGAATGATATCTCATCAAGACGTGAATCTGAACGATTGGAGCAACTTAGAGAGAATTTAAAGAATTATCACATTCAGTTGTAGTTATTGTCGTACTGAATGTGTTTAGGGCGTTCATTTAGCACCTTGAAGATATGTTACTTTAATTCCCAGTGACGTCATAGTTAATGTTTAATGTCTTCCACCTTCAAAGAATATGACCTCACAGGGACTTAAATGACAGATCTTCAAGGTGCTAAATCATCCTACCAACCACATTCTATCCTCTTATGTCTCCTGGTTAGAAAGGACTTAATCATCTCTAGAATGTTACTGTAATATCTAATGAAAGGCACAGTAAAGAAACACATAGGTAATAGATGAAGTATGAAACATAAAGGTCGCAACGTTCTTGTTGAAATCTATTTTATTGCTAAGAAAATAAGAGGCATGCTTAAAATGCTTCGAAATGCACCTATCAGAAAATGTAAAATCAAACTCTTTTTCATCTTGCTGTCATATATGTATTTTATCTTATTGACTTAACATTTTTATTATCAACAATAACATTTTTACTGTCGACGCAGATCTCTCTGAGATCTGTTAAAATTGCTGCAAGGAAATAAAGCTGAGATGCTTCAAATTATACTGTATAAACAAAAGACGCTATATCTCATTCATATTGAAAAAATGTGGGATCCTATGCGTCAGGAGTTAGAAAAATTAAAATTTTTCCCCCAAAAAAATTCCCGGGAAGTAAGTAAAGCGAAATTGATTTCATACAAACCAGGTGTTTTGTGATAGTTTGTGCTTATAGTTCATTATAGTAATACTGTTATTAAAATTAAAGGAATAAACCTATTTTTATTAAAGTAAAAATGAGAAAACGTCCCAATTCTTTCACTGATCACATGATATATGTAAAAGAGCTATATTTTTCGTTACATAATCTTCAAAATGAAGTTTCGCTGATTCTGTAAACCACCCGGCTAGAAAATTGCTCATTTTCAAGTCTCCTTCATCGAAAAAAACTAATGACCGAACTAAAAGGTGGTGGATGATGGTTCTTCACCACCAAGATTTGGCGATTGGGTCCCTTAATCCCGAGCAGCTTTTAAAAGGGGAAGTATGTAAGGTATTTTCTCCTTCCTTCTAGCATGCCTTCGTGATGTAACGGTAGCACACTCGGCGTGTATTCGAGAGGTTCACGTTCGAGTCCCGGCGAGGGCATCGCTCATTTCTCACATCTCCTGCTTCAAAATATCCTTCCGACTCTACAGAGTGAGAAATTCAATTTAGAATACAGCTGAAAATATTTTTTTTAATTTAGCTGTCACACTTGCTCATTACGCTTTCACTGGGATACCAAACTCATCGGTCATTTAACAGTTTCTTCGCCGAGAGTTTTACTCAAGGTACAGCACATGAAGCGACAAGTACTGCACTTACAAGAGTGGGCAAAGCGAGTAGCAATCCCCCACCTTTTCCGTCTGGGCTTATGGCAGTCTGCTTCGCTTCACACTACATCGAAAAAGACCTTAAAGTAGTCTAGAATGATACCTTCTTTAAACTGGATGGGCCAAAATGTAAAAAATGAAAGAACACTTTATTCTGGAATGTACAGAATTTCGTAATAATAGGTTAAAGTATGTGGATGTAAAATATTTTTAATGAAACAGCTATTGAAACTTCAAATTGAAAGTGACTAAAATTGTTCTTTTTATATTGTTTAAATATTGTATTTTCACTTCAAAGTTATCTCGCTTAATAAATCTATTATCAATTGTATAAATTATTGTTTATTATCGTATGCGCTTTCCTGGAGCGAAAGGGATGATTGCGCATGATAAATAAAGTTAAGAATTTCGTAATAATAGGTTAAAGTATGTGGATGTAAAATATTTTTAATGAAACAGCTATTGAAACTTCAAATTGAAAGTGACTAAAATTGTTCTTTTTATATTGTTTAAATATTGTATTTTCACTTCAAAGTTATCTCGCTTAATAAATCTATTATCAATTGTATAAATTATTGTTTATTATCGTATGCGCTTTCCTGGAGCGAAAGGGATGATTGCGCATGATAAATAAAGTAAGAAGAATTTTAAATGACGACATATAAACTATGCGCTAACGGTACGTAATTTCAAACGTCTTGAATGTAAAGACGAATTTTAAAATTTAATTATTATTTGTCAAGTATGAAGGAACAAATAGGAATAAAATTTCGAATCAGAGGTTAAATTACATTTACTTTAATTCTTTAAGAATTAAAGTATTAACTTAAGTAACTAATTACTAATTAGACTCTGATTTCTATGTCGATGAATTTGAAAATATTTTAACCTGACGTTTTAATAAACCTTTAAAAAGAAATATTTTTCTGAAGTAAACTAATGTATATTAAATGTGAATATTTTCCGATACTGCTCTTTTATCGAATATAAATTAAATGATGAGATCAAATATCAGTCCATGATATTATTAATGAACAGCATGTTTTCCACATTTGCTTTAGAACGGACATTAGATTTCATTACTTTTCTAAAAGATGTCTCGTTCTTTTACAGGACACGGTGACGTTATGTACGCTGGGCATTGGCACAGCTTTTGGAGAGTCCATATTGGACAACAGCCCACATAGTGCGACGGTTGTCACTAATGAACACTGTGAACTCCTTCGAATAGAGCAGAGAGACTTTAAAGCGATATGGGAAGTAAGTATTTTAGTCAATTTCATTTGATATCTATATATATAAACATAATATATAGTTTAATACCTAAAGTAAGTTACGGTGTCAGACATTTGTTTTATAGAACAAAAGATAACTAACATTTGAGTTTATTATTACAAATATCGCTATGTAAAATCCTATAAGAAAAGATACTTTAAAAGTGGCATAAGAAAGGATAATTGTTAATAGCAAGTCCAGTAGTCCGAGGAGACTCATAAAGTAAAAATGTTAAATTAAGATGACTGAAATTAAAATTCGTATTAAGTTGAGTTCACTTTTTTTTTCCTCCTTTTAACTGAAAGTAAGTCATTAAAAAAAACTGAAAATTATTACATAACACTAATGATAATTGTTTAATGATATTTATGTACTTACTTTTAGCGTATTCTTCAAAACTTATCTTCTTGTGCACCAGAAATTTCTTTTCTTTTAGATCATAATCCTGCTTCTTTTTACCATATTTTATAAACTATTATACTTCTTTTTAATATATTATATTATTTTATCAGTATAAATTATTAATTATACTTCTGTATAATTTTCTAATAAGTAGCAGACTTTTTTGTATTAAATATCGTAAATAAATCTGTTTTCTCAATGTTATCGGATAAAATGTAGTAAAAGTGTAATAAAAAAAAAAGATCTGATGTAGACACTGCATGTCCTCCTTGTACGGCATTTATATAATACACATTTTTTGCTGCATTTTGTTTAAAAATATTTCCTCGAATTTCATTAGAGATATATTTCTCATTCCATTAATTCAGTTCTCAATATGCGGCAAGGCAAAATGACATAAAAACTCAAAACATCTTCATTAAAAATTGCAAAATACAGAAAAACATAAAACACCAAATACAGTTAAAAAAGGTAAAAAAAAAACTTTGCAATTAAAATTAGAGTTTCTGCCCACCCAAAAAAAGTAGTTGGACCATCGGGCAATAAAACATACTTTTTATGTGCACAAAACTGAACATTTACCTCTGATCCCACTCTGCAAAAAGACACTGAAGTTATTGCAGAAACTGACTATTCTACTAAGAGTTTCAAATGTAAGGAAATGGCGGCTTCGTTAGGATTAAAAAACTTTTAAACTGTTGATAATTCTTCAACTATAGCATGCAGATTGACTAAAGGCATAAAAACCCTAACCGGAACAGGAGAACAATATAATTAAATCACTTGTAAAGAAAAAATACATAAGTTTACCAACACATAAGTATAAAACTCGTGAGTTCACCAAGACGGATAACAGATTTGGTGTATATATATATATACATTCTTTTGCAAAAAACATCGAAGCAGCAAGAAGGAATTTTGCGATCGTGACGAAATTTTCTATGCAAAAACATCTTGATCGAACATGCAAATGATCAAAGTTTCAAGGCAAATGGATAGGAATTGCGACCGTAGCGCGCATTTCTAGTAAGCAATTCGCAAAGTATAAAACCAGTAACAGAGGTGGAAAATTTATCTTTTTTGTTGCTGTCATTGTAAGTCCAGAAAGAAGCGAATAAAGATGTCATTACGACGATATTGAAGTCCTTACAGACAACTACACGACTTTGAACGTGGTCGCATTGTAGGGTTGCGTGAAGCTGGGTGATCATATCGAGCAATAGACAGCCACCAGCAGCGTACAGAGACGGCTGTGCAAAGATGTTGGCGACAATAGTTGCTACAAGGAAATTGCCGACGAAATGAAGGTTCTGGAATGCCAAGGAGAACAAATGCGAGACAAGATAGGATGATTGTTGACCAGGCCCGAACCGCCCCAACGGTATCATTGTCGACTATTTAACGCATTGCAGCCACGTCTATACCTGCCGTGGTGCCATCCACCATCTCAGAGCGCTTGTCTGAGGCAGGGTTACGCTCACAGAGGCCTTTAAGACGCTCGCCTTCGACCCACAATATCGGCGGAATAGTCTGGAGTGGTATCGCAGCCGATCATCATCGCTGCCATCAGACGGGCATCGTATAATGCTGTGCGATGAATCCCGCTAGACTCTTGAAGCAGATGACCACCGCGTTCGTGTGTGGAGAGGACGGAGCTAGCGATCCCAATCAGCCTTTGTTTTACAAAGGCATACAGCCAATAACCCTTGGTGTAATGGTGTAGGGCGCTATTTCTTATGAGAGAAGGACATCTTTAGTCATTGTCCGTACATATTTAACAGCTCAACGATATGCTGATACCATCCTACGGCCGGTTGCATTACCCTTCATGGCACGCCATCCTGGGGCTATTTTCCTACAAGATATTGCCAGGCCACCTACTGCTCGCATATCTCAGGACTGTCTCCGTGCGGTTGATACTCTTCATTTGCCATCAAGGTCAGCAGACCTTTCAGCAATTGAGCATGTCTGGAAAATGGTAGGCCACCAGATATCGCAGATCTGGTATATCGCAGATATCGCACCACAAAATATCGCAGATCTTCAGCGATGAATCCCGCTTCACTCTTGAAGCAGATGACCACCGTGTTCGTGTCTGGAGAGGTCGGAGCCAGCGGTTCCAATCAGCCTTTGTTTTACAAAGGCATACAGCCGTAACCCCTAGTGTGGGGCGATATTTCTTATGACAGCAGTCCATCTTTAGTCATCCTCCGTACATATGTAACAGCTCAGCGATATGTTGATCCCATCCTGCGACCGCTTGCATTACCCTTCATGGCACGTCATTCTGGGGCAATTTTCCAACAAGATAATGCCAGGCCACCTACTGTTCGCATAGCTCTGGACTGTCTCTCTGCCGTCTCTCTGCTCCTTGGCCAGCAAGTTCACCAGACCTTTCACCAATCGAGCAGATCTGGAGCGACAACTGATGAATGCCTGGCAGAATGTGTCGCAGGATGTCATTAGGAACCTCTACCACTCCTTGCCACGACGAATTCAAGCATGCATTGCCGCCAGGGGCGGTTCGACCAACTACTAATTTGAACACTCAGTGGCTGATTGTGAGCCGTGAACAGGTACTATGACATGGATATTTTAGTTATTTTATTATCTGTGTAAGAGCTATACTCATATTCAGTTTCAAAAACAACCACTTCCTTCATAGTGCTTCGATTTTTTTTTTTTTTCAAAAGAATGCATGTATGTGTAATTTTGGTGCGGCCGATTGCAACGAAAAAGATAGATTCACAACTGCATGTTATAACAGTCCCATATACAAAATTTCAACGTTCTGAAGCCGCTTGGTTTTGAATTATGCAAGATAAATACCTGTCCTCCGAAAGTTAAGGGACAGCGTTTTTTTGTGTCTAGAGAATGAAGCGACATAGAAACAAAAAATTTACGGAACGTGTTCACTGAAACAGTTCTTTAATGAATGCGACATAGAAGGTTTCTAAAGTTCAACACAAACATTAATTACAACAAAATTTGCACTCTTTACACAGAAATCCAATCTTGGAGAAACAGTATATCAGTTTTTTGAAGAAAAATCGGGTGGTAATATTATAAAAATGGGTTCTAATAAGCAATGTGTCTGGTCCTAGCTGCACTACATTGGCAGCAGAGACGTTCCATGCTGTCAATTAAGTTGTTGGTCAGTGAAATGGGAAGCAATAATCGGACACGGAGTAATCCTTGTTCAAGCTCATCTAACGACATTGGAGGAGAACTTAAAGCAGAAACCTGTCTTCCAAGGTCGTCCCAAAGATCCCTTATCTGATTCAGGTCAGGAGATTGAGCTGGCTGTTCCACCCGCTCCATACCGTGACCCTCAATATATTCTTCAGCAACCCGATCTCGGTGCGGTCGCGCATTGTCGTCCAATGGAAGAAATCCAGGACGAATGGTAGCGACATATGGGCGGACATATTAATCAAGGAGCTCGTCTGGATATCTCACACCGGTCAAAGTTCCTCCATGGAACACATGCAGGTCAGTGTGACCACCGAGAGAGATCCCAGCCCAAACCATTATTCCGCAACCTCTATAACTGTGTCTTTCCATAATGTGGAATTGGTTGTATCCGGTGCGTTGTTCTTTCTAGATCAGCTGACGACCTGAATCACTCTCCATTGTGAACCTGGTCTCGTCTGTGAAGAAAAAAAGCGCCGATTATTGACTGATCCAGGAAATATGTTCTCTTGCCCAACATAAATGGGCACCTCTGTGTCTTCGGGTCAAGGGGACACAAACAACTGGTTGTCTTGCATACAGACCTGTATCGTGCAGGTGCCCGTGCACTGTAGTAGCTGAGATTCTTGTTCCTGTTGCCACTAAATGATCTGCCATCACCTGAGAAACAGTAATGCAACTCCTCCTTCGGGCCGAAAGAGCTAAATAATTGTATCTCGTAGGTGTTGTAATTCTAGGTCTACCTGGAACATATCTTCTAGAAACATAATCCTCTGATTCAGACAGATTCCATAGTCGGTGGACCACACTAGACATTGAGACATTGAGACGTCTAGCAGCAGCTTGTGACATCCCCATTTCCAACCATCCAATCGCCCACCACCTCAACGAATCGGGCAAACGGCTTCTCTTGGACATTGATAGACTGTCCTGGATATTGCCCATGAAACTGTGATAACAACTGAAGATCAACACTCGTGAACAAAAATTACCATTTTTTTGCATTTTTTCTCCAACTCCTGTATAAGTATACATTTATATAAAATAAAAGTTGTAGCTGTTGTTTTCTCATATATTTTCTTAAACTTCGTTACTGTCATGCATATGAACTGTTGATTTAAACGTTACTGACATTTTTGTAGTGGTAGGCTTTGAAAAACTTGCTGTTCCTTAACTTTTGGAGGCAGTGAACATACGTACGTACGTACAGACTTCACGAAAAATCTCTTATGAATCCATTTTGCAATCTATTTGGGGAGAGAGAGTTCTTTTTCCTGTCTGTACGTAGAGATGTCGTGAAAAAGCATATTTCAAATGGATTCGAGAGCGGTCAAAAAGGATATTTTCGTTGAAAAATGATACCGAAATTTTTCGCGATTACGATACTTCCT